TTCATCTCTTGGTCTCTTAAGCAAAACCTCAATTCATCATTCCAAGAAACAGACAAATTTGTTCACTGCCTCTCTAAGGGTTGTGTGTATTCGTGACTTCTCATTTCTTGAACTGCACTCCTCATGTAATTCATTCTCAACTCCAATAGGAGTAATTTATAGAATAAATAGTTTTTAGGTATTGAGTGAATTAACATTATATTGTTTTGTTGAAATGAATTTTACCATGCACGATAGTGTATTATGCAATTTCAATTAAATAGCAATTACCTAAATATTGTAATAAATGTAATCTGATAAAATTTAATATAATAGCACATTAACACCCACCAACTTCAATTAAACTGCATTTAATAACACACAACCGTTTCTGGACGTATTTATAACACCCAACTTAGGAATTTCAATTAAATAACGGATACCAACTTCAATTACTTTGCATATATACCATTCATCTTCCAAATTTCGATTAAATAACGATGACCAACTCCAATTTAATTATATTGTGTCATGTATCAAAGTTAGATGTCGGATTCTAGGGGCAATAAGGGTGGTTACATATTAACTCTAAAGTAATTCAAATATACGATATGAAAAATTGACAAGAATAATCCCACCTTTCACTGGTCTTCTCATAATAATCTCACCTTTAAATAATCCCAAAATAATCCCACATTTGCACCTCATCTTCTTTCATTGAACCCTGACCATGTTTTTACTCTTTCTTTGAAAATTATACAAATAATCTCACCTTTCACTTTTTAATTATATCCTTATAAATGTGAGATTATTTATATAAGATTTTCAAAGAAAGAGTAAAAAACTTGGTCAGGGTCCAATGAAAGAAGATGAGGTGCAAATGTGGAATTATTTTGGGATTATTTAAAGGTGAGATTATTATGAGAAAACCAGTGAAAAGTGGGATTATTCTTGTCAATTTTTCTTATAGGATATGACTTAACCATGATTTACCAGTTACAGCACCTTATAAGGCAAGTTTGCTAGAATTTCAATAGGACGTTGAAAACATATTTTTGTGATTCACTACTTACATCGCCTTATATTGGTTATCAATTTATAGAATAAATTGCTTTTAGCTATTAAATGAGTTACAATTATTTTGTGAATGAATTTTACCATACATGGTTGTATATTGCCTTCTTGATAAACTACCTCATGCACCAATCAATATTTTTCTAAAACACCTATTCTTTAGTCTTCTCGACATCGATAGAGGTGATAAAACAACATTTTCATTCACCAACTTCAAAGAAATAAAATGTTAGGTAAATATTGATTCCTAAATGATGAACATGGGCGGAGCTAGGGGTGGGCCAACCTAGACCATGGCCCACCCCAAAATTTAAAAATGGCTTAATTTTTAAGGTAAAAAAATCCGTGTAAATTTTTTCTTAAAAATATTCTTTGTACCGGCCTAGTTCGGCCTAGTGCCCTGGCTCCGCCCCTGATGATGAAAGTATAAATAATAACATTATATCAATTAATTTCGAACTATTATTATATCATAATATTATTATAGGATGTTAACATATACGGAGTACTTTAATACGCCATTTTATAGAAATGTAATGTTGAATATAATAATTAAAGGTTGTGTATATAAAATTTGTGTTTTGATGTCTATTTTCTAAATCTAATAAAACATTTTCATTTCATTTTATTTTTTACTGATATAAAAAATGATATACAAGTTGAGGTTTATTTAAAAGTTTTGATACATTGATATACTTTCTAATATCAATTTTTTCATACATGTTTTTCACCACTTTTAAACAATGAAACTCATATATCTTTATGGAGCTACGTCCAATCCCCGGTCTTGCAAAGTACCAATTAATAATTTTGATTTATTGATTACCTAATAATTAGTATATCTAAATATCAATCGACTATCGAGGATAACAATCATCATAAAGCTGTAAGACATTGAAGGAACCATTGACTGTATTTATGTATGTTTTTAAACTTATATTAAAACATATCAAAAGTACCTCAATTCACTCCTCCCAGTCTTTGATGCAGGTACTTTTAATAGTCAGCCTTCCAATTTGCTCACTCGTGCATGATCTCGAAGGGATGAAAAGTACTGCTCATATTAACAAGGTACACTTTCTTTTAAGAAGCTCACCTATTAAGATCTTTGCCATTAAACATGCTTGTATAAATTTCCCCGGCATTTGCCCCACTGATTTTGGTGGTTCACCTTCCGGGTTAAAAAAAAACATGCTTGTATAAATTTAATCTTAGGCTGATGCCCCCCCCCCCCCCCCCCCCCGAGAAGTTTATCCAGGCGAGCACGTACAAGTGATGACAAAGTGTGCGAGAAAAGGCTTGTATGGTTTGAGAGAAGTACTATGTTTGAACAACATGCAAGAGTAACAATATTGAACCCTACGGGGGTCGGGGTGTTACGTGTTCTAAATACCACTTCCATCTTAGCCCGTTATTGTGAAGGCACCCATTTTGGATAGAATGTTGTACTTTTTGTCCAACTGACCTACATTTGAATTTCCATTGTCCAATTTTAAATCATAAATAGAGTAGAAGAGGTTGTGGTGCTTTAAACAAGAAACTTAGGACTCCATTGACTTAGTTGTTGGGATATTGTCCTCACGATTCCGTTGAGGCCCAAATTCACTTTGGTCACACGAGTGCTCGAAAAGAAGACACTTGGGTTGTAGACAACAATGTTAGGTTAACTTGTCCATTTGCCATGTTACTTCGAGCAAGACTAGTGCCAAAACACTAGTCAAATCAAAAGGCCAAGCAAGCAACCGATCCAAATGATGCACAAGCAGGATGGGATGTGGCCGATGGCCTTCAACTCAATCCAGCGCTATAATCAAGATTCTAGACATGGGGTCATTGTGATATCTAGTACATAGGAGATCATGATCAAAGGAGCATGCCAAAATTAGCATGGCTACTACTTCTATACCAAGGAGAGCCCTTCTCTTGGCCAGAAGCAACACCAGTATAGACAAGAAGACCATTTAATTTATGGATTTAGTTAAAGATCTCCCGATTTGATAGCTAATCAATGAAGAACAGACACATGACTTCTGCAATCCACTATAGGGCTATAAATACCGCCTCATAATTTCATCTGGCAGGCTAGCTGATATTTATTTTTAGCACTTAAACCCTTTATTCATTGCAATAAGTTATTAGTGAGTGAGATTAACTTAATTGTGGGATCAAAGGTCCAAATGCATTGGGACCGCTAAGCCAACTAGGTTGAGCCTAGTACAGAGAAGCATAGTTTATTATATACCATTCACTACGTATTTTAATTATTTAATTAATAATAACTAAACAAGCCCCTACCAAGGATTTTGCATGAGACTCTCAAAAGTAAATAAAGTTAACGTGGTCATATATATTAACTTCAACGATAGTAAACGAGCAACACATTAAGTCATATTATGGTGGCCATACCTTAAAAGTAAATAAAGTTAACACAGTCCACAAACAGTTTTAGTTGCCATTTATGTCGCTGGTTTGATTTATGCTTATAATTTTGAAATTATGCTCTTATATTATGGCTAGAATCACTATAGTCACAACGACATAACACTAGGTAAGTTATGTCGTTGTACCCGTGACATCACAATGACAACAAGTAAATGAGCATGGTCTGAACGGTCCGGTAAATTAACAAAACTTGTGATGTACCTGTGAGAACTCTAACGGTACATTTCGGTCCGGTTTTAAGGATGTCAACAAAAATAAGAAAGAGCATTCTAAATGTTTGGAAAGATTTAAGAGGCTGACATTTTTGTGTTTAAATTTGCAAATACTCAAATAATACACAACACAACAAGGGAAAAAAATGGCAAAATGATGATACACTAGATAAATATAATCTTTATAAAATTCATGTGAAAATATCAAAAAAATATCATAATTTTTTTGAATATATAGAAAAGTCCAACATTCTTTTTCTTTACTCTAGGTTGAAAGTTAGTTCTAAATTATAGTTACAACGTGAGAGATAAGACTTAAATCATATTAATTAAGTTGTAAAATTACAGATATACGATACAAAGTCATATACATACAATACATTATTGGAATGTAGTAGTCATTAATGACTTTTAAAACTTTAGTTTTTTTTTCTTCAAATGGTGGTAACCCAAAGAGCTTGCCATCACCAATCTAATCAATTGTCATCTAGAGCTTTGACTCCCCAAAGATGCAGAAGCGAAAGTTCATACAAGATTCCCTACAGCAAGAACCCCAAAACCAATCTAGTGTTGAGACAATTTTTAGCTTTAATACAACTATACGAGCACTCCTCCTTGGTTCAATCTTATAGCCGGTGAAACTCACTACATGATCAGTTATACGATCAAGTAGCTCTTTGTCAGTCAATTCTCTCCTAATGTAAGTGATCTCTTTATCACTTGACTCCCCCGTGCCTGTAATCTCCCGCACCTCAGGAGAAGGGAGAGCGGTCTGAAGCGCTTTTTCCTCAATTTATAACTTTAGCATTCTTTCAATATGTACCAAAATATAACATAAATTATCTGAAAGGTAAAAATATACATAATTTATATAAAAATAAACATTCAACTATTTTAGAGTTCCACGAATACATACTTTTGGTACAGAACAAATATAAAAAACTCAAATGCATTATTTTTGAACAGTTCAATCAGATATTTTTCGGTTCTCAGAATCTAAAACCGGTCCCATATCATTTCAAACGGTACAATTTCGGTTCAGGATGAAAATTTGTAAAACCATATAAATACTTGGTATCCAGCTCAATACCATTACGGGTTGGATCGCTACCGGTTTAGTGTGGTTTTTATGCCCACCTCTAGAAGAAAAATATAGGGGAAAATACAAAATAGGGATTTGACACTTTTAAATCACAACAAGAATCAATTGTAGTAAGAGAATTTTTATATCACAATCAAGTTTGTAGTAAGAGAATTTAGGTTATAAATTTAAAAAAGAATCAATTGTACGAGGTAGTTTGATAATTTCATCTAGTTATTCTGATAAAAAATCCCAGTATAATCTGCTTCAACGAGAGCACTTCAAGCCATAAAATGGAGCATTCTTACAGGTGTGCGGTATCCACTCCAACTTCATACCATTTCAAGCCCTCATTCCCTTCGGCTCTATCTTCATCCCTTAGCCTCTCAAGCAAAATCCCAATTTATCATTCCAAGAAACAAAAAAAATTGTTCACTGCCTCTCTAAGGACTGTGTGTATTGGCCAGTTCTCATTTCCTGAACTGCACTCCTCATGTAAAAAAAGATGGCCCCCGTTTGTAGTCTCAGCCGCTGCTGCCGCCATTGATACTGTGGAGGACAAGCTTCCAGCTGCTCTCCAAGTCATTGAAACAAAAGAGCCCAATTCCAGGGTGAACATACAAAATACCCCTCTATTGTTTTCAATCTTTCCCTAGTTACTTTCCTTAATGGTGGGGAGATTTGTTATTCTTGTTGCCCGGTTATTGAATTTGTATTTGACAAAATGCCTGACAGGATTGATCATTTCTTTCTGTAATGCATTGTATATGGACTACAAATTTTGAAAAGAGCTTAGGACAAATCTATTAACCCATGGCCCATCCTACCCCGGATGTCATTGGTTGAACTAATATAATGAAATAAAACCTCAAATTTTAATAACCTATGAGAGTCAATCATACTCAACCAGCAACTCAATCTCATGGAAACTTAAATGGGCAACAAATTTCAAAATTGATCTGTTTAAGCCACCATCATGGGCATGCTAAGTCATAGCCACAAGTTCTTTGAAATACAATACTAACATATTGAGCAGAATGAAACTAAGTTTTAACAAATTCATTTCCAACAATTTTATGTAACAAAAAATTCTGATTCAGAGTGCATCGATGCAGGTCAGATTGAGTGTAGATGTTCCCCCTGTTGTATGCGAGGATTGTTACAGAAGAGTCATAAAGGAGTTCACTAAACATTCAAAGGTAACTCAATTGTTTGCTCAGTTCTGGAAAGTGGGAACTACATAAAGTGAAAACTGAAAGTATTATTCAAATGCTCTATTCAGGTCCCTGGATTTCGCCCTGGAAAGAGTGTTCCTGAAAGCATCTTGGTTAGCTATGTCGGGAAGCAAAATGTTCAGAAAGCTACTGTTGAATCTATTCTCAAGAGAACCCTCCCGCATGCTTTGTCTTCGGTGTGTTTCCATCTTCATTTTGTCTGCTGTTGAAGTCCCTCCTCTATGTTACCATGAAAGAAGAAATCAGATTCATTCATGTGTGTACATGTATTCTAATTCCCACTTATTTCTTTATGCATGCTGATCACCATAGGTAACTGGAAATGCCTTAGAAGACTCAATTCACATTGCTACGAAATTTTCCGACATGGAAAAGACATATTCATCTTTAAACTCTCTGAGGTTTGCTAGAACCATTACTTCTCGTTTAATAACTCAGCTATCTCGTAAAATTGGTTATCAAAATCATAAAGTAAAATGGATTTGGGAGAGTTATAAAGTGATATTAGCTTAAATGCCTCAGGCACAGTGTGAATGTTTTCTTTTTCTACTATTACAGCGCATTAATTCTTTTCTTAGGAATGCCATCTCTATGATTGTAGTTAGGGATGAATCTTTGTGGTCATTGAGCAGCATCTAGGATGACCTAGGGCACCTTGTCTCCCTCTTTTATTACTATTACTATTATTATTACTATTATTATGATTTCTATTTTTATTATTAGAGATAATAGCCCTAAATAGGACTAAACTAATCCCTAAATGCACAAACAAGACTATGTTATTTATCTTCCCGAAATAGGACTAAAGTATATTGTATACCCTATCTTCCTATTCTACCCTTACCATAACTTAATAGGATAATCATATTTTAATTTGTAATAAATACTGAAAAAAATCTCTTATACAAAAAATCATAAAAAAAATATAGAAAAATTCTAAAATATTTTTTTAAAAAATACTAAAATAATAAAAAGTAAAAAAATATATTTAAAAAAATAAAAAAATTTAAAATAAATACAAATAGATAAAACACCTTACAAAATAAATATGGAGGCCTATCCCACAATCTCGGCAACTACCCAACAATTTTACCTCTGATCTGCTAAGAAATGCCATTTTGTGTAAAAACTGCCATTTTTTCTCTAAAAATGCCATGAAAATGACATTTTTACTCTTTGAAAGTGTCAAAATTTTCTCAAAAACTACCATCAAGATGGCATTTCTAACACATGTTGTCATTTTTCCAGTGATCGAAGCTGATGGTGCTGAGAGGCTGCTGAGGCAGCAGCATATGCCTGCATATTTTTTTAATATTCTTTTACATTTTTATTTATTTTATTTTAATTTTTAATTTTTTTATTTGATACTCTTTTTTTCAATTTTTTTATTCATTTCATTTAATATTTATTTCGTGTTTTTTATTTCTTTACATTTTTTTTATATTTTATTACTTTTATATTTTAATCATTAATGAAATATGAGTTGTATTAAAAACAAGCAAGCGTAGAATTGGAAAGCTAGTTCTATTTAGGGAATTTTTAAGTTATGTTCCTATTTTGGCAATTAAAGTTTCATTTAGTCCTAGTTGGAGAATTCTCCCTTATTATTAGTTATGAATTATTTTTATATTTTTTGTAGTAAAATAGCTTTGGTAATGATTTAATTTTAGGTCTTTGTGGTATAACAATTAGTAAAGTAGCAGTTGTTTTTTAAATTAAAATAGCAGGTGTTTTCTAGCCATTGAGATATTCATATACATTAAAAATACATTTTTCTTTATTGTAAGATTTGTAAAAATAGTTGTTAGAAATAGAACAATTAGATGTTATTTGGAAGGAGTGGGGAGATTAAGGGTATGTTTGCAAAAAATTAAAAAAAAGTGATTTTAAGCTTTTGGCTTAAAAAAGCTGAAAATAGTGTTTTCAAGTGACAACTTCTGCTTAAATTAAACACTTCAAAGCTAAAATCTTGAAAATGCTTTATAATTTTTCTATTACACAAAAAGCACATACTATCTATTTTACCAAACACTACCAACTTTTACTTTTCAAAATCAATTTTTTCTCAAACTAACTTTTACTATTAAGCATTTTTTTTCCAAAATCACTTAAAAAATGATTTTGTTAAAGCAGAAGCAATTGCAAACACTCTTTAAGTTCGATCGGAACCAAAAAGCCATTCTAGGCCGCCCAATAATTGTGACTGTCTGATAGTATTACCGGCTAAGCAAAAAGCCATTCTAAGCCGACCTAATAACATTATTTTTCTCTATCCAGACTACTAAAAATTCCAAGCAATTTATGACTAAAATTTGTCCAATTCCCCAAGCAAACAAACTGCTTATGACAAACAACATCTTATTGTTATAGCGAAACAGATAAATGCTTACTAATCGGGCTAACGTTGAACTTGGTACAATTAAAGTGTTAAGCAACTGAAAAAGAAGATGATTAAGGAATACAAAGATATTAGGCTTTGACTAGCCTTATTATTAGAACAATGGCTATTTTTCATAGGCAAGCAGAATAAATCAGCAACCAAACGGGGCCTTAGGGAAACTTACTAATGGTAAATCAGGTATGATGTCCTTCTTGATGTGGCACCTCAAATCAAATGGGTTCCAGAAAATGGATACAAAAATATTAAGGTTGTTGTAGAGTTAGACAGTGATGTAGATGCTCAGAGAATTGCTGAGCAAGAGCTGAAGCGTCGTCACAAAGCTCTAGGTGCATTGCAAATTGTTTCTGATAGGGGGCTGCAGGTAAAACATGCTCCACCACTTTGAAATACACTGTTCAGTGTTTTTATAGATAAAAATGTATTTTCATTTTAAGTATTTTAAGTTAAACTCAATTTCCTGGATCTAAATGCAACTTATTGGAGTAAATAGGATGGCGATGTTGCAATTATTGATATATCAGCAACAACAGTTGGAGATGAACAGAATTCTAAAAGAATTCCAGCAGCAGAGAGTAAAGGTTCAATCTATTCTCTAACATATGTTTACATTTTTAAACATCCCTGAATGCGAGTTTCTGCTATTCCCATTGGAATTTAAGATTGATCCACTAAAACTAATACTCTTATCCCAAGAAAGAGTCGTATTTGGTGAAGGCACAACTTTTTAATTTGGCAAGGTACAATGGTTTAATTGTTTAAAGTAATGTAATTACACGAAAAGTTAGTTCTCTGATAAGAACAGAAAAATAAAATCAACGGGGTGAACCGTTGCCCAGATAATGATAAATAAATACCGTTGCCCAGAGCCAAAAGGCTAAACCAACTTTTATTCCAAGATGAGCATGAATGAATCCTAACAAGGGGTTTAAATACCCATCTACTAATTCTTAAACTAGGAAACAAAACCCTAGAGATCCTAATCAACTCCAACTAGGAAACAAAATAATAAAGATCCTAATCAACTTCAAATAGGAAAGAAATAATAGAAATCCTAATTAACTCTTAATAGGAAACAAATATTAGAAATCCTAATTAACTCCAAAAGGAAACAAATCAAAAAAATAAAAAGAATAAATATTAATTAAACAGCCCGCAACTAGCCCATGAAGCTGGGCTCAAGCCCGTCCCGCCTTCGTTAAACCCATGGGGACTTCGGCCCATCTTCTTCCAAGCCCAGATTCTGCTTCATATCAATTCCATCCCTCTTCGAAAAAACCTTGTCCTTAAGGTTGAAATCCGGAAACCGGCTGACATTTGTTCCCGGTGGCTGCCCAGTATCTTTAGGAAAAATTGAGATGTACTCCTCCACAGTCCCTGTCTGCTTGCCTCCGGACAGTCGTTCAAAGTGATTGCCCTTAAACCGTGAGTCATAACGAGCCATCTCCTGTGTAAGCTCATCCCATGACATGCCTGGCTTTCGTGTCCGTATCTAGGTCAACCGGTATAGGGCTGACCCTTCCATTGCAACTACAGTGGTTGCCCCCTTCTTTCCCGGCAGAGCACAATTCAATTCGAACCGTTTCTCAGCCTTATCAACCTGGCTGATCAGTTCTACTTCATTAAACGAGGGCAACGTCATGAGAAAGGAGCTGCATAGTCCAATTCCGAACGAGGATGCTACTGCCGCGTCGAGTGAAGTCACCACCGTTGAATGCTTTGCCGCTGGCGGTGCGAGTCTCTTTGAGTGCAACCAATGAGGAAGTGACGTTGTGCGGCTGTCCGTCGCCGCTGTGCGCAGATACGTTGGGGCTGCCAACCGTGTCCGAGCTTGTTTCCGTCGTGACTGATGGAACGAGCGCCTTGGTAAGCGCTGTCAGGGATGCGGCGATCTCCGCCAGACGCATGTTGTGCTCCTCTAGGGTTTGAGTTTGCTTGGCCACCATCTCTGACAAACGTTCACTGATAGATCTCGTCATTCTGGCAGGACGGGATCCGGCAGGTCGGCCAATTGATAAGAATAGAAAAATAAAATCAACGGGGTGAACCGTTGCCCAGATAATCAACGATAAATAAATACCGTTGCCCAGAGCCAAAGGGCTAAACCAACTTTTATTCCAAGATGAGCATGAATGAATCCTAACAAGGGGTTTAAATATCAATCTACTAATTCTTAAACTAAGAAACAAAATCCTAGAGATCCTAATCAACTCCAACTAGGAAACAGAATAATAAAGATCCTATTCAACTTCAAATAGGAAAGAAATAATAGAAATCCTAATTAACTCTTAATAGGAAACAAATATTAGAAATCCTAATTAACTCCAAAAGGAAACAAATCAAAAAAATAAAAAGAATAAATATTAATTAAACAGCCCGCAACCAGCCCATGAAGCTGGGCTCAAGCCCGTCCCGCCTTCGGTAAACCCACGAGGCTTCGACCCCTCTTCTTCCAAGCCCAGATTCTGCTTCATATCATTCTCTTTGGTGATATATGACTTTTCCAGAATAAAACTAACTTCTGATACACGACTCTTTTTATGGGGCAGAGGACTACAATTTTTTTTTTTAATAAAGGCTTTCCCCCGACCCCAAAATCTTTTGGGATTAAGGCTTGGATGTTTGTACACACTTTCTTATACACACCTTATACACACCTCTGTGAGAAGGCTATTTTTTGTATGTGAATCCCGTTCACAGACAAAACATGTTGGTGAATATTCACCAACATGTTAATTCACAGACAAACCAATAGCCTTCTCACAGAGGTGTGTATAAGGTGTGTATAAGAAAGTGTGTACAAGAAGAATGTTTGTTTTTCTATAGAGCTCACTCCATGACCATGGATCGAGTTGGCTATGATACCATATTAAGAGACTTGAAGTTCCATCCTAAAATATTAATCTGATAAGAGGAATAGCCAAATGTGTTGTATGTTTGTTTGTTATTTCATGTATAGCATTACAAGACAAACTCTTAAACAATTTTGTTTACAGAATGCTTTAAAATATCACCTTCATACTAGAATACTTGTTTGGTTTCTACTCCGCAGAGCTGTGCAAAGTCTGGGTTTTGATTTGATTGATTTGTAGGTCTTGCTCTGAATTTGATGGGGAACATGATGACAATCATGGTAGAGTAATTCCACCCGGTTTCCTATGATTGTCACATTCACTGGCATTCTGGCAATGAGTGAGCTATATCCAATTGGAAGATGATCATCCACTATACTCTTAGAAATCGACTCTATAATAGGATATAAAATTGATTCTATAATTTATAATTTAACTGTCATTTCTGTTAATTATAGCCTTTTATTCTTTCATTTTTTTATTTTATTTTTCCAGGTTTCAACTTTGATACAGAAGAGGGAGATAAAGTTCTCCCTGGTTTCCTGGACTCAGTAATTGGAATAAAATGTGGTGAAACGAAGTCTTTTCCACTTGTATTTCCAGAATCATGGAAACAAGAAGATCTCCGTGGTGTTCATGCTCAATTCACAGTGAGTAAATATGAGTGCCTTCCCATTTCTGGTTGTGGATATCGTTTTTTATTTTATTGTATATTCTTAACTGTCTAGGTGGTTAAAACACTTTGCTGATTAAAACACTCATTATGGACATCTCAAATTTAATTTTCTTTACAATATTCAAATTTCAGGTTCATTGTAAGGAACTATTCTATAGAGATTTACCCGAGCTGAATAACTCCCTTGCTGAAAAGCTTATTCCAGGATGCACTACCATTGAGGATGTGAGCTACTATTTTGCAATACTACTTTGCAAAGAATTACAGATATTGCATTACAGCAAAATTAAATTACTTGAAAGCTTCTGTTTTGTTTTGTTTTGTTCTTTTGTTAAAAAAGTAGGATATTTCATTAATTCGTAGGTCAAGCAATCATTGTGGCAAAGGTGCCAGGAAGTAGAGCAAGCAGCTAAAGAGCAAGCAACTGATAATGCAATTCTAGATCAAATTCAAAAGGTCATTTGCTTGTAGTTTTTTTATGTCATTTATTTATTGTTTTACTCGTGGCAGTCTTGGGCATTTTCTTAGTGGACAATCCATACATACCAAACCATGGCTGTAACTTTTTTTCCTTTGTTCAATGATGACAATTGAGGGTAGGCTTATCTGACTATATTTCTACCCTTCTTATACTATTCAATTTATCCTATTCCCAAGAATAGCATAAAGAGGAGGGTGGCTTTTTAGTAGGATATTTTAGGTAAGCATTAAATATTTTGATGAATTCTTCTACATTTTCTTATACTGTAAGAGTTGGTGGCATCCTACTTATGTTTATTAGTTAGATTTTTTATTTAACAAAAATTTATGACATTAACTTATTTGGCTGCACAAGCTAAATCAGTTGATAATGAAACGATGTGTTGCCGAAGTTGTTGAAATAAATGAATATATCACTTCTACCTTGATAAATAACCAAGTTCATCAACATCAGCCACTACAATTCATGAAGCTTCACAACTCACAAGGAACTGCTATAGCTTGGCAATCCAACTTAATAGCTACTACTGCATTTAGGAAGCCATGGAAGGATTGGATGTATGGGAACAAGGAGGGTGTACAAGCGGGATCAGTTCAGAAGGATGCTAGTGGAAGGCTATGGTGGTAGAGGGAATTTGATTGGACCACTAAGTGTTGGACTTCAGGGATGACCGGTTGAACCTAAGGATCTCAAAGGGTTGAGGGGTTTCTTAGGTTTAACCGGTTATTACAGGAGATTTGTTAGAGGATATAGCAGGATTGCTGCTCCTTTAACTCAGCTTTTGAAGAAAGATTGTTTCCTTTGGAATGCTACAGCCAGTAAAGCATTTGAAGAATTGAAACATGACTTCTCTGCCAGTTTTAATGGCTCCAGATTTCAGCAAGTTGTTTATTCTGGAAACAGATGCTTCAAGAAAAGGATTGGGGGCTGTTTTGATGCAGGAGGGTAGACCAATCGCTTTTATTAGTAAGAAGCTGTCTGTGAAAAACCAGAATAAATCAGTGTATGAAAAAGAGCTAATGGAAATTGTGTTGGCTATTCAGAAGTGGAGACCCTACATATTAGGTAGGAAGTACATACAGATAAAAAAGTCTGAAGTTCCTCACAGAGCAAAAAATCATGGGAGAAGAACAACAGAAGTGGATAATTAAGTTGTTGGGCTATAACTTTACCATTAAATATAAGCCAGAGATTGAAAATAAAGCGGCAGATGCTCTATCAAGGAAGCCCAGTTTGCAGTCTTTATCAATAGTAACCTGTCAAGAGTGGGAAGGTTTAGAGGAGCAGCTATTAAAGGATTCTAAATGTTATGATACTATTCAAAGACTACTCAGTCAACCTGAACAACTTCCAGATTTCCAATTGAAGAAAGGGCTGCTATATTTTAAGAAGAGGTTGATGTTGCCTAAAGATTCTCCAAGAAAATTAAAGATACTCAAAGAATACCATGATTCAGTCTCAGAGGGGCACTCAAGATATTTCAGGACTTTGAAAAGGATCTCAAACCTCTTCTATTGGACTGGAATGAGGAATGACATCAAACAGTATGTACAAGGTTGTGATATATGTCAAGGAAACAAATATCAGGCCTTAAAACCAGCTGGATCACTTCATCCACTACCTATTCCAGATCAAATATGGCGTGATATCAGTATGGATTTCATTGGTGGACTACCTAAAGCATAAGGGAAAGACACTATACTGGTGGTTGTTGATAGGTTGACCAAATTTGCCCACTTTATAGCCTTATCTCACCCATACAATGCCAAAAGTGTAGCTGAATTGTTCATAAAGGAGGTAGTGTAGTTACATGGATTTCCAAAATCCATAATAAGTGATATGGATAACATATTCCTAAGTTCTTTTTGGTTAGAATCATAGTAGTCACGACGCACGGTGACCTGCATAGCGTAGGGGTAAATTCACACGGCGATGGCGCTAAAATGGCGCACCAGTAAAACACAACATCCAAAAAAATTAAACATAACCTAAACACAATATACGTGTATGACTTAGCCACCAATTAAAGAGTTAAAATTCTAAATAGTCAAAATAGCACCAAAAAATATTCCAAATCAAATTAAATAACTGATATGGTCCAACCTTCGAGTCAACTGGCCCACAAAAAATGAGAGCATGTGAAAAACAAAGAGAAACAGAGAACTGCTTGTCTGCTTTTAACTTTACCAAAAAAGAGAACGTATTTTAGAGAAAGGCTTTTAAGTTATTTTGCCAGACTTGAATATCAAAAAGAGAAGAACTAAAACCACGAAGCAAGCAGTCTGCATGGATGACAAGCGATTAGAGTCGGGGACCAGCTTCAGCAACAATCGACAGCCACGTGACCAGCGACGGTGACCAGATACATCGACTGCGACGGCGACCAGGTACTGTGACTACGACGGCGACCAGGTACTGTGACTACGACGACGAACATCAAACCGAAATCGCGACCCAGGTGTGTGCGATAGCGCCATTATTTGGCGCAAAATGTCGAGAGCAAGGCGATATCGCACATTTGGCAGCGCAACATGTAACCCCTGCGCCATGGCCAAAAATTGTGGCGAAGACCCCCTGAATCGCCAAAGGCGAGAAATGGAGATCGCCATTTACTACTATGGTTAGAATTGTTCAAACTGGCTGGTACTCAGTTGAAATATAGTACAACCTATCACCCTCAAATGGATGGACAGATTGAGGTAGTAAATAGATGTTTGGAGACATATTTGAGGTGCTTAACTGGTAAGAAGCCTAAAGAACGGGAAAAATGGCTGCCTTGGGCAGAAATTTGGTACAATACCAACTATCATATCTCCTTAAAAAGACTCCTTACAGGGCATTGTATGGGCAAGAACCTCCAGCAGTCATCAAAGGGGATGTATCCTTCACTGTCATACAAGAGGTGTCAAGATTGACAGCTGAGAGGAATGTAATGTTGACTGAGATCAAGGAACATTTAGCTATTGCTTAGAACCAAATGAGGCAACAAGCTAATAAACATAGAAGGGAAATTCAGATGGAAGTAGGAGAAAAGGTCTTTCTGAAAAATTCAGCCTTAAAAACTGAAAAGCTTGGCTAAAAGGATAAATCAAAGACTAAGCCCAAGGTATTATGGTCCGTTTGAGATCACATATAAACTAGGTTCAGTGGCATTCAAATTGAAATTACCTGAAGGCTGAACCATCCATCTTGTGTTCCACGTCTCATTACTCAAGAAGGCTTTATTATCTCTTAATATACCAAGTCAGGCTCTACCTCAGTGTCTAAATGAAGAATGGAAACTCCAGGTATGACCAAAAAGGGTGGTGGATTTAAGGAAGAATGTGTAAGATAAAATGGAAATCTTAATTCATTGGAAGGGTTTGCCTGAATTTGAAGATTCTTGGGAAGATGTGAATAAGATTCAGGAGCAATTTCCAGCCTTCCACCTTGAGGACAAGGTTGATCTTCAAGGGGGGAGAATTGATAGGAGCACGAGTAAAGAAACTAAAGACACGAGTGTTATTCAATTTTATGATAAAGTGTACCAAAGAAGGAGGGAGACATTAAAATAACTAACTGAGAGAGAGAGAGTTAGTTAGATAGGCGGGTACATTTCTGTTGGGAGGGAAAATGACTGTAAATAAATAGTAGATGGGAAGTTGAGAGAGGTAGGCTGTTGGTTAGTTGAACTTGTCCTTGAGAGCCCTAACATTCTCGAATTTGCCCAGACTATTTCCCCTGAAGATTTTCTCTGATACCACTAAGTGTTGTGGATTTTCTCTAATTTGTTGAATTTAAGAGACTGTTTCCTTTGAAGATTTTCTCTGAATGTGGAAGATAAAATGGAAGTCTTAATTCATTGGAAGGGTTTGCCTGAATTTGAAGATTTTTGGGAAGATGTGAATAAGATTCAGGAGCAATTTCCAACCTTCCCCCTTGTGGACAAGGTTAATCTTCAAGGGGGGAGAATTGATAGGAGCACGAGTAAAGAAACTAAAGACACGAGTGTTATTCAATTTTATGATAAAGTGTACCAAAGAAGGAGGGAGACATTAAAATAACTAACTGAGAGAGAGTTAGTTAGATAGGCGGGTACATTTCTGTTGGGAGGGAAAATGATTGTAAATAAATAGTAGATGGGAAGTTGAGAGAGGTAGGCTGTTGGTTAGTTGAACTTGTCCTTGAGAGCCATAACACTCTCGAATTTGCCCAGATTATTTCCCCTGAAGATTTTCTCGGATACCACTAAGTGTTGTTGACGTGCACTTTGTCGTGAGTGCACTCAAATTAAATTCAATACTAACACTTATACGTAGTATAGGTGAAGTAGAGTTCGTATCCACAGGGAAAGGAATAACTTTCTTTTTATAAAGATAGTAAATAAAGGGGGGTTTTGATTGTTGAGTGATTTAATTAAATTAAACACGAAGATGAACGAGTTATATGGGATTAAATTCAAGGAAAAGGGACTTGGTCTTGCTACTTTCCACTTGTTGATATATTTTAGTCGATCATTGTTATATCTATAACTTATCCCCTCTCGAATACTCAATCGAGGAGTATATCCAATTCATCGAGGGTAGTTATTAACAACGACCGTTCATTAACAACCCTTACTATTTATCAAATATAGAACAACGCCGTATACCGATATAATAGTAGCTTTTAACCTCTTTAACTCCTTGATGAAATCAATTAAGATTGATAACCTCAACACAACGGTTTCGGTTTAACCAACAAAATTAATCCCTCTTAAGTTTATTAACCACGACCGTGCATTAATAAACCGAAGTTACTTATTTATGAAACCATCAACGTTTAACCATCGGTTCGTTGAACGTTTCTAGTAATAATCAATGTTGGAACGTTAACTAATCGTCACTTAGCCACCCTCCAACATTAATATAGAATGAGATTAAGGGAAGAATTAATAATCAAGAGGAGAAAGTAAGAAAATAACTCACAACTTTAATAATCAATCAAGCTTCAAGAG